GATTTCTTAATCTCAAGAAATTGCAATTTTAAGATTTGCATTCAGGTGATGCAATTCTTTTGACCGCCACTGTATATCTGTTTTAGGTAATTTATTTCAATGGAAAATTGATAAAGGTCTAACTGCAATCGCAGATTCATGTTATAAATTAGAATGTCTAAATATTTCTAATCGTATAGAGTTTTCTGAAATATCAATTTGCAATGTTATTCGTTCTTACCCAAGACTCTGGCAACTTGATCTTAGTTTTTGTAAAATTACTGATATAATAATTGAAGAGATTGCTAGTTCGTGTTTTAAATTAAAATATCTTAATTTAAGAAGATGTTACAATGTTAGTAAAGAAGCTATAGATAAGCTAAATCCAAATATTCATATAGAGAATTTTGTGGAAATTTTAACACCTCCTGATCTTATTAGAATATTTAATAATCAAATTTTAGCTCAGGATCTTCAGAGCTTTTTAGATCTAAGTATGCGAGATAGTCAGAATTCGGCCTTACATCAGATATATAGGCAACTTAATTTTAATACAATTACGATAGTTTTAGATGACATACTGACTAACCAATTTAGCTAGTCCAGAGTAGTGATCATCAGCTTTACGTTGCTCAATATATTGTATTTCACATTTTTTTCATTTGAAGATGAAAGAAAACTAGCTAATCAAGTAAAATGCTAGTATTTTACCGATCTAACTAATCTGGATCAGCCGAATAATCTATATATTTTTATCAATTTTAAATACTAACTAACTTATAGAGCATAAATAATATTTTATATTTTGCAGATATGCAATCTGAAATAGATTCATTGAGATAACGCATTATCAAGCTTGAGCTCAGAAATGCAGAACCTATAAAACAGATGATGGAAGAGAATAACAAACATGATGCTAGGCTTGAAGAGCTTAAGACTAGAATCTTAAAACTAGAGCAGGATCAGGCAGAAAGAGAAACTAAGAAAAATCGCAAATTTCAGATCAAGTGCATCCAAATAGCTAAGGAGATTCTAAATGAGAAACCTATGATCGAATATCGCCTTCCTTTTTTGAATGAATTAGAGCTTGATGCCTTCTTCCAAAAATATCAAATGGCATTAGAAGTGCAAGGGACACAACATCGGCTTCATAATACTAGCTGGTATAAAGATGGCAAAAAACTCGAGAATATTGTTGATCGTGATCAGAAAAAAAGAATCCTATACCAGTTAAATAGAATTTATCTTCTTGAAGTATGGTATGATGAGAATCTAGAAATTACAATTCCTCAAAAGATATATAAATTTAAAGAATATATTGATCAAAAATACTTTAATCTTGATTAATCTTTACGTAGCTTATACAATGACTTAATATTATATGGATAGTACTAATTACATGTAGCTTACATGATAAAATTACGCTTTCAAAAAGGCGATTAATCAGGAAAGTATTTGCTAAATTGATTACCTGAAATTTCAATAAATATAATTTTGCATCATTTCAGCCGTGGAGCTCACCATGTCCTATTTGCGATGGAAAACATGGGAATTATGGATTACATGGCGAATAATATAGGAATAGAACAGAATATTATCTTTTTTGCTTCACTTCAAGCAATAAATTCAAATTCACGATCATAGCATAGACTGGTCATATGAAATCGATGTGCAGTTAATATTTTTGCCTAGGTTGTGCAATGTAAAATTTACATGTGCAATTTTTTCAAAATAAAAGTGTTATAATTTCTTTCGAGTAAGTATGTTAGAATATAGAATAGAGAGTTATTGCACGAAAAAATAAAGTCTGCAGTAATTAGTATAAAACATTATACAGTATATCACAGATATTGTTTCATTTATTTAAAAATTGGCTACACCTTTGTATTAATCTAATGCTAACCGCAGTGCATCTATTTTTAATGTTGTATTAATAAACTGTGTATCATCATGCATTTTTTTCCCAAAAGTTCTAGTAAATAATTTAGCTTTTCATGAATTAATGATTTGCGAGTATTTTTGATTATGATGCTAGAATGAAATGAAAATAGAAATCAGGGTAACAGATCGACTTAATTGCCACAGAAATTTTCTATGTGATCACTAATTAATATTCCATTTTTGGTGAGTTAATTAGATTTGTCGTATTAATGAAAATTCCTCTAAAGATCTTAGATTCACTGCGAATTATATAAAAAGGTAAGGCCTAGTTAGTGAATCTTTTTATTTACCTTGTATAAGTAAAACAAAAAATTAAGCAAAATATTTAAACTATCAAATTTACCAATATTTATATCGTTAATATCCTTGATTAAACGAACTTCTATATTCTGCAAAACAATAATAAGGTATATTGATTTTATTGCTTGGCTAGCTTCTTGAGATATGTCATCACGATGTTAATCAATTTTCTCATCTCTATAGATGATCTAAAATAAAGCGGACATAATACTCTTTTTACTATATATCGGCATTTTGATTTTTGCTGAGAAAATCTCTGATCATCATGAAATTTCTCATATGATTTTTGTCACATGCAATGGTACAGCAAAAGTCTAGCGCAGTATACCATCTGATATAAGCATCTTCAAGTGCCAAATTCTTGAAAATATTGTTCTGGTAATAACGTATAAAAAATTAAGCAGTCAATTCCTTGTATATGGAATAATATGAAAATGAACTATATCAGTAAGTGTGAATTAGAAGAATTATTTTTTTTTCCTCATTGCTAATCTCCTGATGCTATAGATTTAAAATTACTTAATCTTCGAGAAGTTTCATTACATAGAATATTATTTTACTTAATCTGCGTGTTTAGAAGAGATATAGATAGACAAAAATCCTGTAGACATGGATGGGATAATTTATTTCAAAAATCTAGTGTAAAAAAAGAGTATAGGGATAAGAATCTTGTAATTAGAAATATTAGCAATAGAAACAAATTAGCTATAGATATTTTTTGTAAACGTGAGAGAGCAAAGAAATAACTTGATGCTGGGACTCGCATTAAATGGCTTAGGATCCGCGTACTCCCTCCCTCTTTTATAGCATCACTTATTTCTCTCTTTTTTCTTAATAATAAAGTCTCACTTCGCATTTATAAATTTTAACCATGTGGTGTGTTATTATCCGATTTGACTGATAAGGGCTGTAACTACCAAGAAATAACTTGGATATTCACTGATTCATAACTTCATCGCCAGAGACTGGCCGACACGAAGCTATGGCTTCTCCTAAGTATCAAAAGACACAAGGGAAGTTCTCACCGCCAGAGACTGGCCGACATGGAAAACTTCAGCAAAATCAATAAATCAACTGTCACCGCCAGAGACTGGCCGACGCGAACAGTTGTTAGCTACAAGTAACTCATAACTTCACCGCCAGAGACTGGCCGACACGAAGCTATGGCTTCTCCTAAGTATCCAAAGACACAAGGGAAGTTCTCACCGCCAGAGACTGGCCGACATGGGAAACTTCAGCATAGTTACACTCAGTGTATGAAATCTATTTGCGGAATTTGCGGAACGCAAGTTAACTTTGATTTCCGCAAATTGTTTGTGATTCTAAACTTGCGCATTGCGCAACTTTTAATTCTAGGATTTTATTAGTAAAAAAAAAATTTGTATGTATGCGCAGGGTATTACTGATCATGTGATATAGAATCGCGAATCGATTAATAGTGTTAGGTACTTAAAACTACGTATACTTTGTATACTTTATTACAAGAACAATATGTCTGCAACATTAAGATCGAATGTCCACGTAAATTTTTTGGCACCTGATTATTTAGATGTTAACGATTATTTTAAAAAAGTAGGTGCCCAAGACTGGAGGCTTAAGCATTACCTAAATTATCGTTTGGAGACCGAAGATATAATTCCAAGCTGGATCACCGTTTACGAAGATTGGTTTGCTTCTCTCAACATTATCTCAAAAACTAATCATAAAAAAATTCCCGTCAGTGTAATTTCGTTTTGCAAAGAATTAGCAAATTTTAGTACTTTTGAAGGAGAGTCAATCCTAGAGCGTTGTAAGGAATGGTACCATAATTTCTACGAGCGTTACTGTGATCTGCAACTCACCGAGAGGGTCCAGCACATAGAAGAAAAAATATACTCTTCTCAAAAAGTAATATATTCGTCGCAAAAATTATCGGAGCTGTTACAAGGAACGACAATTATAAAAAAAAGATCACATGATGACAACGATGACAACAAAGCAGGCCCGTCAAATGAAAAACGTAGTCGGCATGAGGTGCATGAATTTAGTATATTGTTTTATTGACACCACTTTTTTCTAACTCATCTTTATTACTAGGATTTATCGTGTGAAAGTACAACAGGAGCATGTTTAGAGTCTTATCAACGTGAACAAGACGAGCTACGAATACTTGAAATCGAGGTACTTATTTAACTTTTAGCGCGAAAACTTGTTATTCAAATTGACCCACGAACTTTTGGATGTATTCGTAGACTGAAGAACCTCCGATTGAGTGGGAATTTAGTGCACCAAAACCAAATTGGCTAGATAAAATAGCTCAGGAGCAACAATTGTTAACTTCTGCATTGTTTTCTAATGATGATACAAAAATTCGATATGAACTGTCATTAAAGTAAATGGTTGATAAATGCTGATTTTTCGTTATCTGTGGTATCCAGATTCTAATAAATTTTTTTTAGTCCAATCTTGTGGAAAATCATTGATTTATTTGATCAAAGAACCACGAACCTTTTATCAGAAAATGAATTATCAGAATTAAATACAACAGTTTCAGCTTCTCTTAAAAATTGGACGATCTTGGAACCTATGGCAGAGAGATATCTCCATTCTTTAGCAAAAGTATGTTATGAAGATTAAAGTATTTTTAATTTTTTATTTGAAATCTTTTTAATTTTTTGTTTTCCAGCTTGATGGCAATCAACTTCGCATCATTGGTGAAATTGTAAGACCCAAGGGTACACATGGCGCAATCCTTGAATTGCAAAAAATATTAAATAACATTAAAGGAAACCCACCCGAAGAATCTGATGATGATCTCTTTGAGGATAAAAGTACTTTTGAAAATGATAATAAAAACTTTCATGAAGAAATCCAATTATCTACCAAAGATCACACGAATGCTGATGTTGCATTCATTTTCGATTTAATTAGATTCACGTAAGTTCATTCAATAGTTTAGTATTAAATATACAGTCATGCAGTTTAATGAGTTTTACATCATATAATTTCAATCAGATGCGAAATGATCGCAAAAGGAATCCCCCAGCGACAAAATTCCGAACGAGACATTGATATGTTTATAAAGAGACACATTTTTTCTTGTTTCGATACTATATTAGATAGTCATTTGTAAGTTTATCTTTTTTAATATTATTTGTTATTATCAATAACAATGCTTACAATTTTCCTAGTGGGGAAGTAGTATCGAGGGCTTCCAGGAATCGTCGAGCAGTAGCTATAGATGCACCAAGTAACACAGAGGGATATCATCTCGACTGGATGTTTACAGTATGGAACATTCTTAAAGGTTTTCAATGTCAATCATTAGTGTGTTTGCTAACATCAATTTTCAGAAACATGATTTAGGGAAAGAATTGTACTGGGGTCGTGAGTTTTCCCTCTGTGAGAGAACTAGTTCCAAATGTGAAGATACGTCAAAGGTTCTTTCGAATACCCTTAAGGTACAAAAGACCTTAAGAGATATGCATCGAAATTTAATAGAGTCAATATCTGATGAGAGCGGTGGAATGTTATCAATGCCAGTTCTTCATGCTAGCACCAAACTTTTGATGCCCGGATTTTTGTCGTCATATTTTTTCTTACGTGCTATGCTGATTGTCTACATTGGAGGTGGATTTTACGTATCTGCCAATTTAGCGGATCTTTATATCCCAACCAAATATGAAGAACTCGAATCTATTCTTAAAATTTCACGAGTAATGCTTCAAGTAAAGGTTAGTATCATACAAACAATCTATAAAGTATGATTTTACACTCACTTGTCCTGTTTTTGCAGAAATTATTATCCTTTACTATTTCGCGGTTTAAAAGTATAAAGAACAGAGCAGAAAAAGAAAAATTTGCACCCGGAAGAGTGGTAATTCCTGCCAGACAGCAGGAACACCGATCGCCCCCCCAAAAAAAGGTTAATAACAAGATTTGTTCTTAAAATAACATCGCTAATGTGAGATGTTATTCATTTATTTGATTTCGGACAGAATCATTGAGTATATCTATTTTAATTGCAACCTAATTTTTACTTCGCTATGCATTATTATCATCATTAATAAAGAATTGGGTTTGATTTTAAGCATGTATGTATCTATAGTGCAGTACGTGGATCTTAGATTATTTACCTTGGTGTATTACAATTTATGCAATCATGCATCCTAGATCATGGTAATGTTTTTTACAGGTAAAAGTAAATTGATGAAATGATCGCTGTGATTTTTTTTCCACGCACTCGTGTGATTTTTAACATATTGTATTTTGATTGAAATTGTTTATTGGCAAAAATTATTAGCATTATAATTTGTAACATTTTTTATTCATCGACTAGAGTTAATATTTCTAACAGATTTCCCATAAGTATCACTGTATCGACGCGTAAATTTATTAATAAAATAAAGCTTTTAACGTGATATTATCATGGCATTAGCTATGGGAGTCATGATGTATTTTTTTTGCCAGTTGTCACGATTTCGTGATGAAAATTATGTGATTATTATCCAGTTCATGCAATACATTTAGTATGAGGTAATTTACTCCCCGCCAAATACATCCATCAAATCAGTTAGACAATCATGTATATGATTCCACCCTGAAATCTTTGATTGAGGTGATTTTCATGAAATTCCAATTTTCTTGCATAATGTATAAATATGAGGCCCCCTTAATCATAGATGAAGTTAATTTTTTTTCTTAGCAAAGTTGCTGACCATTGGTCAGGATGTCACATGAATTTTTTCTTAGCAATAAACCATTACCATTGGTAACGATCAGAATCATATGACTTTGAACTTGAAAAGATTAATGTGTCAGAGATGAATCCAAAGTTGACCAGAGTGTTAGACATCTTTATATTTCAAAGAAATATCAATTATATACATTACAGATAATGGGTCCCAAACTGATAATATCATTTGGCCAAGCCAGAGGGATTCTTCAAATCAGGTGCTAAAGCATGATCATGAAGAAGAGAATAATCACCGTATTATGAATGAGCTTAAAGTACTATCTCAGCACCTGCTCGATTATAATAGACAAACTTTTGAGAAATTTATGCATGAGATAGAAAAGGAATATAGAGAGCGGGTTAATGCAAATAAAAGATTACAATGTGAAGTTGAGGATTTGAAGATGCAGGTGCAGGAGGTAGAAAAAGAGCTGGCATCTATAAAGTTAGATTCTCACTAAGAAGTGGCATATTCCAGCTAACACGTATTCTGTGTGGATGTTCACGAGGTACAGTTAAATCAAAAACAATGAATTTATGTGAACATAAAGCCTTATCAATAATCTTAATTACACTATGCCAGTCATTAGCATATTGACACACAATACGACTCAGCTCATCTGTAGTGCACAATCCGTTAAATAGACAGACATGTGTAAGATTTTTTCATATTATCTTTGGACAGTCAAAGTAATTCTGCAATAAATATATCAAACTGACATTGTAATAGTGTCTCTCAATAAAATAAGGGATGATCTTCTCTTGCACTTTTTTTGGATCAGCACATACATCTTCGAATATAGGTACTGTAGCTCTATCCGGAGAAAAGGAATCTACCTTAGGGATTTTATCAGGCTTCAAAGCTTAAAATGTAATGTTTTCACAATAGGGCTTTGAACTATTTGCAATTATCTGATACGCTAATTCGAGATACATATATTTTTCCTCTTTAAGATTGTGACTGATCAAAAGCAAATCATCACACTTGATATAGCGTATCCCTTCTTTCTTTCCATTATACATCTGATAAAGCTTATTTCTAAGTATGAGATTAAGAACTTTATTAGTTTTTCCAGAATTGGTACGACCACAGATCAGAAGTGTGAAAGGCCATTGGGAAACACTTGAATGTCCATTATATTTTTTGGCATCTTTAATTTCATTAATATGATATATAAGCCTATCAACTGGTTCAAGCTTTTTTATTTTCATGTCGAACTATTACTAATGATATATTAAAATAATCTTACAAATTTCAGCGAACTTGGTTCGCTCAAAATCACGTGAACTTTCAAGGATTAGGCTTCGCTTTATCCAAGAATCCTTTCTCGATTAATGTATGTCTAATGAACAGATATAAATCCACAGTATAAGGCACTTCGATAAGGCATATACCTTGGTCCTTGCAAATATCCCGCTTTTTCTGATCACGTATATTTTGTGATTTTAGATTTTCATTCTTCTGGTAGTAGAAACTATTGTGACGATAGTGTTGAGAATCCTGAAATTCGAATGCAAAACGCAATTCCTTATTATATCCATCCAAGTGTAGCTCATCTAAGAACTTAGCTCTATATAGTGGGAATTTCTTGCCTAATAAATTCTCAAAAATATATCAGCATTTACGCTTATCGCTTGTATGGTGACAAAGAGGGCACTACTCAAATTTCTTTATGATGTATTTTAGTGGATATTCCCATTGATGTGCACCATCCTCACAAGACTAAAGATATACATTATGTCCATTTATTTCTCCAGTCTTTTCTAGACATTGACCACTACGTCTTTGAGCATAACAATGGCTTGGTTTAACTCACTGGGAGAAGCATGAACGAAATTTATGAATAATATACTTTGAGGTGAATACTCAACTTTTTCTGAATCAACTATTAACATGAGTTCTTCTCGCACAAACTCGCAAAATGGTGTAAATTCGTCACCTTTGAGATAATATAATACTGGCTTATTCTTTATGACTACAATTTTCCGGATTTTATGAAGACTTGGACTGTATGTAGGATCAGTAGCTCTTTTCTGATTTTTTATACCCCCTTCTCATTCTGCAATAGCAAGAAGATATCGAACAGTATCACCTTTCTTTAACGTTATTTCATCTTTTCCAACTGGATGCTTATATTTTGTGAATGGTCTTGATTCTACTTTTTCTAACATGATAGTTTTTATAGGTGCAAAACCCCATTTCTTAGTCCCTGGTTCTCGAATGAGACGTGTAGGATAATTATTTAGATAATCAATAACTATAGGCAAATGCCTAATCCATACTTTTATTAATTTTGAATTGGGATATATAGATTCAATAGCATCTTGGATCTTATAGAGTATTTTTGTGAGTGTCTTGTTAAAACGTTCTGCAAAAGCTACTCCTCAATGAGAATATGCACCAATTACTTGAATAGTAACATTATGCTTCTTCATCAATCGAGAAGTCTTCCCCATAAATTCACGATCCCCATCACATTGTAGAAGCTCTAGCCATACAAGAGGATTATTAAGATCATCATATTTTTTTCTGAATGCTCTAGCAACTTTTGAACTCTTCTTTGATGTGAGTGGAATTGAAGCCTTATATCGGGAAGCGCAGTCTATTATATTAAGCACTGCTATATATTTTTTATGTTTGTAATAATCATATGTAAGGAATAGCAAATCACATTGGTATACGCAATTTAGGCAGGTTATTCGGCTATAGCTACATCTAGGAATATTCTTCAGTGAAGTTTTATGTATTTGGTATATATGTTACCATTCTAAAAAATCATGAAATTCTTTTAGGCAGAAATGATGCCCTTCTTTTTTACATGCATCTCTCAAGAATTTAGGATTAGAATAATACCCAGTTGGATGATAATATATCTCTCATAAAATAAGATTCTGTTCTATACTATGAGCCTCATCAGAATCTATCAAAATTTGCGGTTGGCTCATTTTCAGGTCATGATTATATGATGTTCTATAAATCAGATTGAAAATATAACGCCTATCATTTCATGCGATCTGGCATACTTAGAGCTTTTAGATACGAACTAGGAGCTTCGTAGTGAACTTTGAGATGAAATATATATTAATAAAAGTAACGAGAAAAAAATTCACTCTCTTGTAAAGGAGCTTGAGGAATATTATCAAACTATCTTGTTTCAGGATAATACTATCATAACCTATAAGAAAGAGATAAAAGACCTCAAGTTAAAGATCACGTCTCTCAAGAAGCGCCTACGTGAAGCTCTGCAATATGTAGGGGAAAAGAAGAAGCATATATTATCTGAGGAGGAACGCTTACATGAGTTAGAAGATAAGGTTGAGAAGCTTAAAACTCGTATTTATGAAATAACTGGAAGAAACTGGAAAAAAGTTTCGAGCAATAGAAAAAGAACGGAGAATAGTAGTAATATGAATAATGCTTTCCAATCAATTTTAGATAGGCAGTTACACATTTCAGGTTGCGTAGCAGAAATTCGATTACATTTAGATGAAAGAAATATTAATCTTCTAGATGATATAGTTACACAATTTGATGAAATTATTACAAGCTTAACTAATACTATTAGATATGTTGAAATGATCTAACGATATTAGGAGAATCGAAGTAGACGGCTTGCAGAACAAATCGCGCGAACTAGGAATGCAGAACAATGAGAAGTAGAGGCATTGCATAATATCTGCATGTTAACTCAGGCTTTACAGGATAAAAGACATGCATATCAGCGTGGAGATACTGAAATTGATGATCTCAAAAGGCGTAAAGATACTGAAATCAATGATCTTAGGATGCGCAAAGATAATTAAATTAATAACCTCAGAAGAACCGCACATCGGTGAACTGTAAGGTATAATAATAATACAGAACGCTGGAGAGGAAGGCATAGTTGTGCCGTTCGTTAAGCTCAGAATTGGAAAGACCGATATAGGGATGAAACTTTAGAACATCAAAAATGGCATGACATATCCCAAAAATTAGAAGGAGCAATTATCGATAATAATACTAGAAAGCAGGCCTGTATTAATACATTAATATATGAGAAATTCACTCTCTAGCTAA